GTCCAAAGATGCCGTGTGTTCCTTTTGCACCTAAGGAGCGTAAATAACTCATTAGGTCTGTGACGATTTCCTCTTCAATTGCATTTATTCCTTGCCCGCCGCCTGCCATCCGCGCAGCTTAACAACGATGAAGTCGATTTGAGCGGATGTTGCCCTTTATAGAGTGCATAATGTACCTGGCTTTATTACTCTTCCTCCAGAATTCCTGCTTATTTCCAGTGTCTTGGCAGAACGTTACAGTATGTCTCTTTTCCACTGTTTTAAAGCTGCGTTTTATGCGATGCTCTTTATTCATTTAAAGTCAAAGAAAATAGTCTGAAGTCAGAGTCTTCAGTGTGTGTCCTTGAATGCCCCATTCTCACAGTTTTCCACAACCCTAGGTTGCAGCTTGCCTCCTCCCATTAGCGATGATGATTTGACGTTACCTGCCAACCGTCCAAGTGAAATAAAATGGATGCTCTTGTTGAGGTTCATTGAAGAGAGGGGATTATTTATAAATACTGTAAAGGCATAATTCATATTTTTCCGCATATGAGGGAGCTAATGTGGAAGAGAAGGACAGTTTCAACGCTATTGTATGGAGAAGTTTTTTTTTTTTTGGCAGATGTTAGACGGTAATATCAGACAAAATTAACTGGAGTAAATACAAAAAGTAGGATTTCATATCCGACACTTTTGCTGGCATGTATTTAAAACACAATACAACGACTTGCATTGCGTAATTTGTGTTGCTTTAGATCTAAAAATACAGATGGATCAGATTACTGGGTGTGACCGTTGAAGTACACACCGATTAAACAGACTCATTAAAAAAAAAATCTGTAAAATGAAATGGTTATCTGAAAAAAAAAAAGATCACCTGCCCATCCATTAAGCAATTACCTTTTATTTAAAAAACAAAAAAAAACACAGATGATAAATAATTTCCATTTTACATTCAAAATGATGAATGAGGCTCCTGGAGACTGATCTGGACATCCATGTCAACATTTCCAACACGTAAACATTTTGAACACTCAACAGAAGATACGTTTCTAAAATGCCACAAAATTATGGATAAGGAGGGGGAATGTGAATAAAACGTAATTCTTACTAAAACAGATATAGTTTGGCTAAGCACATCATTCACTGGCAACACATTCACCCTTTTAACGAGAGCTAATTTGTGAGCTAATAGGCAGAAGTGAAAGACTTCCTTGCTCGCAACAAGGTCTCTTTTAAAAGTTTAAAACATCATTTTGCAGCGCTCTATTCAGAAGATTACAGTTCCATCATGTCAAGGTTATACTTCAGGCACTTGTTCACATTGGCAAAATCAGAAGGCACTAAGGCTTTTAGCAGCGGATTCTGATAATTCAGAAGCATTTTAAAGTGGAAAAGTACTTCCCTCTGTTCTGAAAAGTTGCAAAACTCTTAGATTGTGGTACAAGAGTCATTCATAGCTCCATTTTCAACATTTGCTGTGTGGGGGAAAAAAAAAAAAACATTTCAAAGGCAGCAGGGGAAATTTATTCCTCTTAAATGCTCATACCTCCCATAATTTGTCCCAATTATCTGTCACATTGTGTCTTGGCAAAAGAGTACTTGTGTTTTGCGCTTTAGCTTGGCATCAAGTCAGGAGGACAGGATGTGCTAGGGATTCATCCTCAAAGACAAAATATATATATCATATGGCTTTGCTTCTTCTCTTTAAATTCATCATACCAGCCAGAAATTAGATGGGTTCGGTTTCCTGGGGATGAATTTGGTTTTTCTGTGGAATGCAGAATGAAGGCACAGTGAAATGAGTCATGTGACACGGGGGTGAAAGGCCAATCAAAGAGGAGGAGGCCATTATTCAAAAGACTCCATAAGAAGCCAGACTCCAGTTTGGAAATGCATACGAGGACACTGACCTTAAATCTGAGAGCCGTCAAACCACACAACATTACTCCAAAAAAAATTATGTGTTTGGAGAACAAAGGGAGAAGCTTGTAAACCTGAGCTGCCACTCTCGACTGTGAAGTACGGGAGTGGCAGCGCCATGTTGTCACGGTGTTTGCTACAGGAAGAATTGGTGGACTTCGCAGAATAAAAAACATCACGAGGAAAGCACATAATGTTGGAATATTAAAGCATTTCAAAGACAGCAAGTTAAAATTTGCACCCAAATTGGTCTTTCAAATGTCAATGAAGACGAGCGTTGGAGGTAAAAGGAAGAAAAAAAAATCCCAAAGTTCCTAAAAGTGATGCTCCTTGGACTAATTTTCCAGAATCTCCTGATCCCACTCACATTGATTGGTTCAGTGCTGATACTTTAGTCTCCTCTCTATGTTGTGAAATATGTCTATGCCTACTCTCTGTGCACTCATTACATCTCCTGTACGCACTTCCTGGGGTTTTCTTCCTCATCAGAGATGCATGGGGCCTTTGTGCGCGCCGTGCAGATGAAAGGTCTTGCGGTAAAGTAGCGAACCGCACAGAAACAAAGGAATTCTTTCTCCTGCATGCACTCGCACGTTGGAGCAATCTCAAAGACAGCTGTTCTGCTCCCGGGTGTCCCAAAGCCTCTGACTTGATCTTTATCCCTCCTCCTATCCAATCCATCTTTCTTGGTATCGATTCACGAAAATATCAAAAGGGTAAACGACGGGGGCCCACCGGCATGGTACAGAGAATCGAAGACATGTTTGACACTGCCCATTATCCTGTTTATGCTGCCCTTAAATACTCAAGTACTCGCCTGTCACAAGTTCCACGACTGATTAAGCAAGATGACTTTTCGGCGGCCGCAAAACGCAGAGAGGGTCTGTCCATAATCAAGGGGATGTAAATGTAAAGCTCTGTAGCGGCGGCTTTCAGTTTGTGCTTGAAAGCAGAAGGTTTTCCAATCATCTGCTTAGTCACCAAAGCACAATGAAACTCCTTGCAAGCAGAGCCAGTTAATCAAAGATGGGACTCGTGCCATTTAAATCTCGTTTTATAATATGTTCAAGAAGAGGGACTGGTACTGGAGAGTTAAATCTAGATTTTTATGTAGATCTTTCTTTTCCTTTTTTTAAATTTATTTATTTCCAACTCAGGAGGCCTGCGGATTAAAAAACACTGCTGACAGCCACGATCAAATCCAACTCGGACCCAACTGGCACTCATCAAATCAGACTTAGGTTGTTTGTGCTCATCATAACTTCCAAACACGCAAAAATTGCCCGTTCATGTATATTGAGGTCCCTTTTAAGTGATGCCCTCAAATGAAATCCAGGCCGTCCTCCAGAAGACGGTAATAAATTTAGTTTACCTCTGTATAATTCCATCCTAGTACAGCGAACATGCTGATTTAACTATTTCTGTGGAACGCCTAACGAAGTTATTTGTGGAAAACCCACCTACTTGTCTGATTTTTTTTTTTCTTAACATGCATGTCTCAAATATTTTATGAAAATGAGGCTTGAAAAGCTGAAATACTTGACATGCTACTAAAGCCGATTGGCTGTAGCTGTGAGAGCAGTGAAAAGGAAGTCGGGAGGTGTTGGCTCCTCCCGTGTGCATAAATGCATTTTAAGGTATATTTGGTGTCTGAACTATTAAACTAGGCGGTAATAAGCATCTTTAGAGGGGCTCGGAAGTATTTGCAAACTTAAGCTATTCATGGGCGACTGTGGTTCCTAAACTCTGCAAATATCTGGGGGTCCACTGTATAAATCCAGCTGTTCTGCGAAGGTCGTAGGATTTTTAGAGAACAGGAGGGGAAAGGGCTACGCATTTTGAATCGCTTATCTTGAAAAGGTGAACTTTAATCAGAGAATAAGTCACGAGTCCCGCGCTAACGTGAGGAGCTGCAGGGATTGATGGGAAGTCCTTGCTGAAGGACTTTCCATCCTAGCACAGGCTGGTTGCTCCAAGCGGTACACCTCGATAAGGAGATTGTAAGCAGCAGCGTGTAGTGGCAGTGGATCGTGCAAACCCCTCACAGAAGGTAAAGGAATGGGGTTTTTTTTCTGGTCGTTTGGCTGATTTCTGATCCTCCTTTTCAAAAGAGTCTCAAAACTACAAACATCTGGGTTTCCAAAACACTGGCACAACATCAGCACCACGGTAGCTGCTGAGTTGACTATGAGAGCAATGTAGGGAGAGACGGGGAGGGTCATCTGGAAAATTTGAAAGGTGCTTCGAATCCAAATTGAACAGACCCTTAATTGGTTTAAAGAGTTGCAAATTGCAGTTTTTGTAAGGTTAGAAGTCAGACAATAAGAGGTTAGAACCACAGAAAAGAGGTGCGCGTGACGCTGAACTGGCTGAACCGGGCAACACTGTGCTCCCTCAACATTTATGTCTGGCACTCATCAAATCAGATTGTTGGGTTGTTTGTAAATGGTCAATATCCCATGTATTTACGTGTGCTGTCAGCAGCACAGCCGCAAAGGGTTTTGCCAGCAAGTGAGAGAGAGAGGGAGAGAAAAAAAAAGTGTCAACAAATCCATCTGGATAGTTTTTTTCCGTCAGGTAATATATCCTGAATTTGACACCCTCTCCGCCCTTCTCCTCAATCTCCCCGGACCGTTTGCATATGTAAACAGCCGCCATGATTGGACCAGATATTTAGCTTGGAGGACCTGGGGCCTTCATGTGTTATGACAGCGTTTAGAAAACGTCAGAGATGTGATAAACTGAAGGGAAACAAAGAAACAAGAGCGCACACAGTTGGTCAAAGATGAGGCCATGTTTTTCCCATTAGCGTTGGAAATGCATCTGAAGCCACGCAGCATCTTTAGACCAGCCTTCAGATATCATTCAGTGGGAGACCAATGAGTTCCGGCTGAAATATTGTGTATGTGTGCAGATGATGATTAGGAAGAGGAGGGTTTGCATTAAATGGATGTCAGAGTTGCTTTACCATAAAATAAAAATACATACAGGCTTGTGAAAAGTGCTAACACGGCTCTTTTTCTCCTTTTTTTTTCTCTCTCTCCATCTTTGCTGGAAAATCCACCGCTTGCTCGGATTGCCGTCAATAACTTCAGGTATGTCCGATCCCTTTGTTCTCTCCCTCCTTTCAACAACATTTTTACAAGAAATCAGTAACATACACACAACTGCGCTGAAGTTCTGGTCTTCATTAGGAAGAATGGCATCTTACCACAAGTAATATAAACAACCAGAAAGCAGGGCGACTCTGGAGGTTCATACATGCAGATTGCAAAAAAAAAAAAAAAAGAGTACGCTTTTGTCACAGTCATTTAATCTAACACTGAAAAAGATGTCGAACACTCCAACCTTTAGTTTCAATACATTTAAAAGTGAGGAAAAAGAAAATCCAAGATGAAGAAAATTGTTTTTCAGGGAACGGTATCATTTTGTCGGGCTGTTCTTTACCCTTATCCGTTCTGCAGTTTCAAGAAATTTACTGCAGAAAAAGACACTGGTGGTGGTGCAATCCTCATTTGTTATAGTTACCCCTTTCAACAAAGTTTAGAGAAACTTTATACAAGTTAAAAAGCATAATTGCTTTGCCATCAGTTATTAGTCAAAATCAATATTTTTTTATTTTCACAAAGTCCAAAAAAAAAAATTTGATGCACACATGCCGATTGATTGTTTTGACCCCCTTTTTTTTTCTTTCTTTTTTTACTATCAGAAATGTAAACATGTAGAGTTTGTTCATCTCTAACGAGAATTTCACTAGAACCACATGCGGCGGCCACATTAGGCTAAGATTAAGCCTTTCAACAGTGAATACTCCAGTTGTGGGAATTGTTGAAAAGTGCCTCACGTCCACTTTTGTACAAGTATGATGGAGGATGTAGGCTGCTGTGGGGCTATTCCTCTTCCAAAGGCCCTGGGAACCTTGTTATGTCGCTCATGACTGCCTTGAAATACTGAAACACTAAAATTCAACTTTGTGGACTCTACCAGTAAACAGAGAATGTGTTTTCATTAGATCCCCCACAAGATAAGGAACTAATTCTTCTTTAAAGTGGAATATTCCCCCAGCGAATAAATGTGCTCAAATTAAGATATTTGATAGTGTGATATAAAGCTTCAGCAATGAAAGGTCTCTGTTATGCAAATTTTCTGTGACACAAATGAAAGTGATCAGTCAGATCAAAGGTCGCCAAACTCTGAACGAGGACGTTAAACGAGGCCTTGAAGTGCCGCACAGACCTTTGATGTTTTCCCTCACTTCGGTGTAAAACGCCCCGTGCTCTGTCAGCCGCCGTGTTTTCACTGCACTGCTCTCTCGTGTTCTTCTGCTTTCTCCGTATTGTGTAACCGGGCAATTTGCACCCCCACTTTTACGGGCCAGGAACAAACGAGTGCAACCACGGGCTCTGTGCGCACAACTCATCCCCAGCAGTGCAGGAATGTTTTTAGTTTTATATAAGGGATCAGATTTATGCAACGATTCTGGGATGTCATGTGGAGACGGGCCTCGGTAGGATTGCTTCCCCCCCCCTCCCCACTGCCCCCCTAAAATTTAAGCGTATTTTGCTTTAATAATTTCACTTTGGGAGGTGATAAGTACCTGTTTTCGTAGTTTAGCAATACCAGACAGTTTAAAAGAAAAATGTTGGCTTCAAAGTCATATTGAGAAACGCCAAAGCGGATAATATAACGAAAGGTTTTAGCTTTAGTGATGACGGAAGAGATGAAGGGATCAGTTTTAAATGAGTTTTAATCCGGTGAACCCGACCACTCCACTCCGAGGCTGAAGCCTGGAGCAACAAGGGCAATAAAAGTTTAATCCCTTATATCTGCTTGATATGGTCATTACACTGTGGATCAGAGTAAAGAGTATTATCTCCGCTTAACGTAGGATATCTGTTTGACACTGTTTGTATACTTGACTGATTTAGTTTAAAATTTCAATAATAGAAAAAAAAAAGAAAAGTTTATAGTTTTATCCAAAAACGGTGCTGATTCTCTATTGGATTTGACTAGGCCATTTTACTAAATGAATATTCTTACACTGGACACTGCTCTGTAACATGCTTAAAGTTTGGGAATATTGCTTTATAGCTTTAAGTTGATTTCCAAAACTTTCTCCTTGACTCGTCTGCTGTGTTTTCATGATGTTTGTTCAGTGAGAGGCCTTCACAGAAAAACTGAATCTATACCGAGATGAAATTACAAACAGCTGAACCATTTCATAATTAGGCAGCTTCTGATGGAAGCTGGTTGTATTGTACCGGTTGGAATATTCTGTTAAAATACATTAATGTTTGGAGGTGTAATGTGATAAAGTTAAAAAAAAAAAAGGGGGAGGGGGGAGTTGTGAATGTCTACGTGAGGCACTGTACGTTTTCAAATTTGCCTGCATTTTTCATCTTAAATTACGTTTTCCACTTCCCGTCATGTTTCCTGCCAGAATGTTTGTGTATTTCCCCGTTTCCCCATCTCCCCTTCTTTACTCCTGGACCTCTTCCTCGTTTGTGTACGGCTTCACTATAAATAATGCCACCTGTTGGTCTGTGGCCTTCATTACACTCACAAAGCTGTAAATCAGCAAGAAAGGCCAATGAGGGTGCCTGGCACAGGGTAAGCCAGTCATACCACTGGCACAGAGAGCTATGTCTGGCACTCACTGACTAATGCATTTGCTTGTGAGGCCAGAAGGGAGAAGACATGGGAGCAATGAGGCCAAGGTTAAAAGGACCTCTAATTCTGTGCAAAGCAGGCATTCAAGGAATAGATTCAAGAATTTATGATGATGGTGACAATCATTTTTTAAGCTAGATTTTAAAAGTACAGCAAAAGTGCCATAAAGCGGCTTTTTTTCCCAAAAGTGTGTCTTTGGAGGGGGGGGGGGGGTTGGAGAATAATCCAGATGGTTAACCGGGAAATACATACATGTTTTGCTCTTTAAAGCCACGGAGTCAGAGGTGTTGAGGACTTGAAAGCATGCACAGCGGGACGTGATCAGGGTGTGGGTGATAGGGTCAGGGGTCAACTCTCAAATAGCCCCGGTGAGTACAACCATCCATCGGCTCTTTTGGCTTTGAAATGGGAAGCCGCCCTGGCTGCTCTCGAATGCTGCGGCAGCTTTCGACATACCACGGCCTGCCATCAGACACAGTTGTCGTGTCAGGTGCCTTCATGGGATTGGTTATTTTTAAGATGATGAAGCAAGGTTCGAGTGGCGCAATTGAGTTAGACGCTGTTTTTGAAGTGCAATCAACTAACAATCAATCCGTTAAAGGATATCGACACACCAGAGCTTACATTTATTGATATTTCTATTCAGACTCTGACAAGAATGCCACAATCACACATATAAAGGTTATATTTTTTTT